CCACCACAAACTCCCTTCTACAAAGTAAATGACTGTTCACTTCGGTGTTTTTTCGGTGGACTAGAAAAGCTCCACAAATTCATCTCAACTTAAGAAGACTGGGTACGAAACTTCGCAATTCGGTTTGAGCTTTGAATACGAGAAGGACTGGCACAGTAAAGAAAAATAACCTTCTGCTACTACTACTCTAGATCAAAAGTGGACTTATAACGGAACCACATTGATGACGAAGATTTATAGGTATAAGTTATAATATAATCTATACAAATAAATAAAATTGAAGTGTCTGTTTGTAATGTCAAAATAACAGCTTTTTACTAAATGCATATGAAAGTATGTATGGTACTCTTAACATAATTCTTAAAATTTGTGTCTATCTGTCTGTCTGTCTTTCTATTTGTTTGTTTCTGATAATCTGCGGAACTGCTGGACTAATTTTGACGGTACTTTCACTGGCAGATAGCTGATGTTATAAGGAGTAACTTAGGCTATTTTATTTCAGAAAAAGGATTAGGGTGTCGCGCAAAAAAATTAAAACCCATGAAATCCAATCGTAATAAATTAAAACGCGGGCGAAGTCGCAGGGAACAGCTAATAAACAATAATAATGAAGAAGTTAAAATTTTAATATTAACTACAACACAGATTGATTCTACGCACCATTATCAAGGTAGATTTCAAAGAACCTTACGTTTAGTATAAAAATAACGACGAAATAAATAAACACCGCTATCATTGCAACCATAAAAAATAAACGATCCAACGGACCATTTATATAGTAGTAAAGATAAAACCATTATCTGCTGTTGGTATAGTAACGAAACAATAAGTGATGATGAACGTTTGTAAATTTTTCATTTAAACCGCGTATTTGAGTATTTAATCATATATAAGTAACGATAACTGTTCAAACTCCAAATGTACTTTCCAGAAAGTACCACATTAACGATTTTATTATACTTTTAGGGTCCGTCACTAACGACTTTTAGAAAAAAATAATGGAGTAAAGACATTAAATCAGTGTAGGCATTATGTAGTTGACAATGAACATAAGAGCATTAATCTGTTCCGCAATTAAAACTCGCCAAGTATATCGTAATCGTTGTGTCGTAAGATTTAAATGGCATTCAACCGTCTGGATCCGACTTAAGTTTGCCACAACATTAAGTCGTTGATGATTGTTAAATTTATTTATGTAGGTAGGTAAAATGTTAAGGAATAATAATTTTAAAAATTACATCTCAATCATCGAAATGACCTGAAGGTGTTATTTGAATACCATGAGGACAGCAATAACCATTTTTTTTAAATTGTCTGTCTGTCTGACCTGGCTAATCTTTGGAATGGCTGAAACTTTACGGACACAGTGAGCAATACCAGGAGTGATCTAGATTATATTTTATCCGAAAAATTTAAGATTTTTTCTATATAGAAATACGTGCTAACGTTTTTATCGAGTCAAAATTAATGTAAATTGTAATGCAGTTATCATTTTTAAAGCAATAACGTAATGAAAATCGATTACAAATATTAATTTATACATTATACTTTGCAACAAAACCATTTCAAATATATACTTATGGACAAATTTGGAGGAACGCAAAAAAAAGGTTTAATTTCTTCCGTTGTCATTATCGTGCGTACTGGTCACAAACATTAGTTAATGCTATTAAAAAGGAAGTTTTGGAATGTTTCTTTTTATATTTCGTTGTTATTGTGTAATTCACTTTTTACAATCAAGGCGGCGCCACTTAGAAACGAGGTGAAATATTTAACGGATTACATGGCGGGAATGTTAATTTGTTAGGAAAATTTAAGGTTAATGGTTATATTTATTTGGATTAGAAACGAATAAACCAAACTACAGATATTCCTAAATAAAATACTTACAAAGAGTGAAAAACATTAAGCAAGAAACCACTTAGACATGGTTTTGTGTATTTATCTAATACTCTAGAAACCGATAAAATTTTATTTAAAACGCAACCTTTCAATTAAATGACGTTGTGTGTCAAAAAACTTCACCACAATCCCTATTAGTGACATCTGGTGAACGAAATATTATTAGCCCTCATTATCGCATAATATTGCGTTCTTTCATACTGCGAAACTTAGAGTAACTGAAAAAAGAAGTATTATGGCACTTTTGAATTAGAGTTTAAATTTAGACTTTGTTTAAAATTTTGCCTTGACTGTCTCATTAACGTGTTAAGTGTGAATTGTTAGTGTGAACTGTTACTGCAAATGAACTGAGAATGCCCTACTCACTCAAGCTGCTAAGGCTGTTGACTTTAATTGGAACTGGGCACACCTATAAACATGTTTTTTTTATAGAATGAGGGTGATAAACGAGCACACAGTCCACCTGATGGTAGGTGGATGCTGTGGTCCATAGATATCTACATTAAACCTCAATTAAGAATCAAAATGCAGATGCGTTGTCACATCTGAGGACTGAGGTGGAATGCCTCTTATCCAGCAAAAAGGGTCTCCGTTTCTCTACACTCACCATACGAAACACAGCAGCCTTAAGCTCCTATTTTACGCTGGCATTCTGTGAGAGCGTGTTTCTACCCCAGTCGAGCCGACCCATTCGTAATGTGGCCCAATCATCATTACGGTAATCAAAATCTGTGGTACACCGAGTTGTCAAGAGGTATCGGACCGAACAGTATACGAGACTCACAGGACAGTGACGTGAACGGAAAATTGTGGCAAGTGATGACCGGTTCATCGTTACCACCATTCTTAGAAAGTTCGAGGGGTTACAGTAAGCACAAAACTGTAAGAAAAATACTGAAATCAGCCCGAATTAATTCACACTTACCCCCCAGTAGGAAGTAGAGGTGCTGTGGTTAGTGGTGACGGGGATAGTAGAGGGAGGGCGGCAGATGCTCTTCAAATTAGGTAAGGGACATTTTATTTTGGTACGCAGATCTTAACAAATTAACTATTGACAATTTTAATGGTTGATACTTGTCATGTGATCGTTTGTTTTATCGACGTTTGCAACTCTAAATTAAGGAATAATAAGGATAACCTAAATTATTAAACTCAATTTTCACAAATATCCATGACTTTTTTTTTATAAGTACACAAATTTTTTGCGTTCTTCTATATTTGTTCATGAGTGTATAAGATTTCAAGACATAAATGTATATAAAAGCTTATGTGGCTTTTAGATATTATGCCTTTTATACGCTAAACGTTAACCTTGTATAATAGAACGCCTGCAAAATTAGAAATTCAAATATTAAGCAAATATAATTTGTAATACAGATGGGATCTTATTGTATTATAAATTATAAAAAAAAAATCAACAACTTAATAATAGAAGTGAAAGCAGACTTCAAAGAACTAAACAGAATAAAATAATTTCACCTTCTGAAGTCGGGCCTTTAATTCTTCTATAAACTGTATCTTAGCAATGGTGTGTTTTTTTTAAATTAATCAAAAATAAATTGTATATTTAGAATAACTGACAGTCAATGGCAGAGAGAAGTTCTCGGCAGTCGCGTACTTTAACCCACTAGATGTAGGGACGACCTGGTAAGCCCTGTTAGAATGGATGGATGCAGTGGTACAGATAGACAAAATTGTCATTGTCCTACTATTTATAAATTGGAACAAGTAAAATACTTGGGTGTATTATTAGACCAAAGACTCTTGGTACACACATCTTGAACACGTCACGCCAAGAATAAGAAAACTTACATCATGTATTTTCAAGACATTGAATGAAGATATGAATAGAAGTCTTCCCAGGGATATTTATATATCTCTGGTACAGTCAACACTCATATACTGCATACCTATATGGGGTGGAGTCGCTAAGACACGCTTCCTTGAGCTAGAACGAGCTCAGCGCAGCCTTATAAAGGTTATGTTTCTCAAAGAGCGGAGGTTCTCGACTGAGAAACTATACCAAAGTAGCCGACATCCTTCAGTTAGGAAAGTATATATATTACAAAACACCGTAATATATTATCCCGTTAAGGCTACAAAAAGAAGCTAGATAATAATAGATGTACCGAAATCATACGCTCCTTTTGATACCAGGCAGTGGCAGTATATTGTTATATTTCGGCGTATCTTTATAAAAGTATTAGTAAATACCTAAATATATATATTATAACATACTTTGAATGTAAAAGACTTGCAAAACTGGTCAGAAACGAAAAACTGTGAGGAAACAGAAGCTTTAATAGACAAAGTAAAATAGAATATTCACATTATTGTAGAGTGTATGTCAGAGCTCGAGTCGGCTCCGTGGCGCAGTGGCTTAGCAAGGAGTTGCAGCGCTAATGGCCGCGGGTAAGAATGCCACACGGAACAAATATTTTTATGAACTATAAATAATTGTTCCGGGTCCTGATGTTTGTCTTTGTTGAATTTATGTGTGTAAACTGCCGCCAAGATACAGGAGAAAATCCTAGTGTGGAGGTAACGATTTTTAAAAGAATAAAAAAGAGCTAGGGGAGATTGCGGTTTCGTGCTAAACCTCCGATCCCGAGACATTGTCGTAGGGCTAATGCACATTCACAAATACACGCACACGCACGCACGCACACACGCACGTACAAACGCACGTAAGCACGCACGCACGCACGCACGCATGCACGCACGCACGCACGCACGCACGCTCTCACGCACGCACGCACGCACGCACGCACGCACGCAGGCACGCACGCACGCACGAACGCACGCGCACACACAAACACACAGAGGCTGTGTCAGGGGGCAGGCACACGCGCGCGCGCGCGTGTGTCCCTGCCCCCTGACACAGCCTCTATAGCTTAAAAGGGGACTCCGGTCACCATGTTGTTTATAATTGTGTTGGTTTAAGAAATAAAATGATTTTTTAGAAAATATAAGAGGGATAAGTGAAGTGGTTCAGAACGTTAGAACGGCAGTTTTTGGGAGCCTATGAGGTCTACGTCAGCATTGGACTTGTGATTGGCTGCAACGATAATGATAATAATGCATTTGAATTCGCTTACCTAAGTCGGAGAGGCTGACTTTTTCCAAAAACGGATCAGCAACAGGCAACTGTAACAAATTGAAATGTTTTATGTGATTTAATTTTTACCTTCTTAAATAAAATACTTTTTTTATAAACAGCTTGTGTTTGCTTGTTCATTAACAACGGCCTGAATGTTTACATAACTATTAAAATGTTTTACTTAAAATTATTCTTGCAAATCGCGACAATTCATGACTCCCTATAAAAAATTAAAACCCAGTGATAATAAACATACAATCACTAATGAACTTGTTAAAATATAAATAATTTATCAAAAATGATGAAATATCAGCTCTTACTAAGTAATAATGATTTTTAATGCCCTGTTTTCAAAAGTCATTATCAAAAGTTTCAGTGTCATACATTACTCTTGAGATAACAGTTATTAACAGTGGTAGAGCCACGCGGCAGCTTTAGCTGTCGCACGGATGGGCCGGCTCGAACCGGGGTGGTACCACGACCTCACAGAAAACCAGCGTGAAGTAGAGGTTTACCTCTGCGTTTCGCTTGGTGAGTGCAGGTGGCCGGAGGCCCATTTTACTGAAAATGAGGCATTCCATCTTAATCCTCACGGGTGACAACGCATCTACATTTTGATTTGTAATAGAGGATAGATGTAGATGTTTATGGGCCGCAGCAATCACTTACCATCAGGTGGACTGTGTGCTCGTTTGTCACCCTTATCCTATAAAAAAAAGTATACAAAAATCATAGAAATAGCATATATACCAGATTGCCGATGGAGTGATTAGGGCGAGACCAAAATCAGTAGGTACACTAGTGTGCGTGAAATGTGCGTATGTGGGAGACAAATAGTGCTGCACCACGACCTGCCGGTTTTAAATTTAATTGCCGATACCGATTGCAGTATATACATGTCTTCTGATTTGTTATATTTTACCCAGCTACGGAGAAGCCGAAACGATGGTTAGGATTTTAGAAGCCTTTACATACATAATGTATCATCTGTTTCCTCAGATCTTCTAAACTACTAATCTTATTTTGATAAATTAGATATCTATAGAAGCATTGTACAATTTTGCGGGTTTAAGACTGCATGTAGCCACATTAAAACTAACATGGCGGCTTATTGCCTTATTGACATATAAGAACTCCCAAAAATGAAATAAATATTGAAATATCGTGTCTGGTATCCAATAAAAGGCGTAATTCAGAATGTTCTCGACATTCTTATAATACATATTATAAAAAATGTTAATTACATTAGTATTTATTAGTTTTTTTTTTATAAAACTAAAGTAACCAACGAACTTACAGTCCACCTAATGATGGTAAGCGGTTACTTCAGCTCATGGACACCTGCGACTAACTTCAAACAAATAATGCTGCGTCGTTGTCAACTCTAAGGTCAAAGATGGAATGCCTAAGAGCCTGCATTTACACCGGTACAAGGTAAGAGGGTGATACCTACACAGACAAACTCTCAGGCAGAAATAGAGTCCTACCACTAAGTTCATACATAAACTTTAAAAATTGTTAATATAAAGCCGCTGAAAGAAACACTGTTTAAAAAAAAAGTTTTTTTTATAGGATAGGGTGACAAACGAGCACACAGTCCACCTGATGGTAAGTGGTTACTGTGACCCATAGACATCTACATCTATCCTCGATAAAGACTCAAGATGCAGATGCGTGTTCACCCGTGAGGACTAAGATGGAATGCCTCTTTGCCAGTAAAAAGGGTCTCCGGTTCTCTACACTCACCATACTAGGTACGAAACACAGCAGCGTTAAGCTGCTATTTTACGCTGGTTTTCTGTGAGAGCGTGGTCCTTCCTCGGTCGAGCAGACCCATTCGTGCTACAACTATACTACTAATATAGCTGCAGCATGGCTCTACCACGTTTAAAATGTTATTATGTGTGATTATATGCGTGTTATGATGTGTATGTAAATTAACAGTTAATAACTAAAACCAAACTGCAATAGTAAACGTGTACTAAAAAGGAATTAAAGGAGACTACGATGTCAATATTTGAGATAATTGCGAAATATATTAAGACCCTTACTATTGCTATAATTTATAATTAAAATTAAAATGAATTTATACGTAGCCGTAGTCACACGTTATTAAGATGTCCTGAAATGTAGTTGGGGTTTGATATTGACCTTTTAATTATGTTTAAACAAAAGTTATGAGATTTATATTTATCTTCAAAGAGAACTAATTTATTGTAAAAATGGTGTGAGCACTCCTTAAAAAATGTTTTGCAAGGTTGCTACATACATACTTTTTTCTAATAATAAAATAACTTTCAATGGTTATTTTATCAATAAGTATTTATGCCATGACGTGCCAAGTACCGTTTATGGATTAATTTGGGTATAATGAGTGTACTAGAAACCACCTTGATAGTCTTATTACAGCTCTCCCTCAAGCACTTAGATTTTTGGGTTTCCTCGTCGTACGTTTGTTTTTTTATAGACAAGCGGGCAAACGAGCATGCAAGGACTATCGGATAATGCTTGTTGAGGAAGTGGTAAAAATATTTAAAAAAATAGTTTAGTGCACGAAATTGAATAACCTGAAAATTAACTGAATTATTACCATGATAGTTATAAAATAATTAAAAAATATTCATAAGACATGTTCCTGGGAAGAAGCTGAACCTACCTGCCTATTGTTGGCTTTTTATTCAAATGTAAAAAATCCCATGTGACTCTACCGATAAACTAAAAAAACTACCCCAGAATTAGATCGGTAGGGTTGTATTTTCGAGTTTTGATCTTTGGAGAAAAATATTTACTGACATGAACAGTTTTCCCGAAATTTCTTTTTTAACATTTTTTTTTATAGAAGAGAGGGCAAACGAGCCTGCGGCTCACCTGATGGTAAGTGACTACTGCCGCCTATGAACAACCGCAACACTAGGGGAATTGCAGGTTTTAGAAAGGAGTAAGCTCTTTTCTTGAAGCTTCCTAAGTCGTATCAGTCCGGAAAAATCGCCGGTGGTAAACAATTCCACAGAGAAGTTTTACGAGGAAGTAAACTCCAAGTAAAATGCACAGTGGTGGCTCGTTAAGCATCCAGGTGGTGAGGATGGTATCGTGAATTTTGACGCGATGTGCGTTCATGAAATATGGCGGCTGAGATTAAACCGAACCTCAGAGCACTCCCCGTGGTAGATGCGATATAAAATGCAAAAGGATGCAACATCCCTGTGCAGTCCCAGTGACTCGGGCCGATCAGAAAGAACTCGGACGTCGATGATTCGAACCGCTCTGCGCTGGATGCGGTTAAGTGGAAGGAGCTGGCACTGGGATGCCTCGGCCCAGAGATGAGAACAGTATTCCAAGAAAGGCCGAACTTGCGCTTTGTGGAGTTGCAAGCGATGTGCCGACATTAAATACTGCCCCGCTCTGCTAAGCACGACAAGCTTTTAAACGGCCAATTTGGCCTTCCCTTCCAAGTAACCACAAAACTGCACACTATTCGATATGTCCACGCCGAGGAATCCAATACTAAATGAGGCAGCTAGGGGAGTGTCTTGAAACTGAGTACATATGACAAATTTTAGCGGCAAACGTGTAAACTTGTGTCTTCTGGGGATTGAACTGGACTAGATTTAGCCGCCCTCAATCAGAGAGTTTGTTCAGCAAAGACTCGACTTCAGACACAAGTTTGTTCCGGTACTCGGAGACATTTTCCCGAGAAATATTGGCACGGCCTGTCTATATTGCATCACCAGTGCTGTCGTTTGCAACATGTCAATAATATAGCATCAATTAAGCATAATTTAGATAGAGACATAATTTTGCAAAAAAAAGTGCCTTGGCTACACGACGACAAAGTATTTGTATAAAAATATGACTAAAATCCTTTAAATCCCCTTTGCAAGCACATATATTATTGATTACAACAGTGTTACAATGTAGAGTATGTAAAGTTGCCAACTTTTAATGCGCAGTATAAAGTATCAACTAGGTCGATATAATTGTCGACGTTGTTCGAATTTCAAAACACATTCACAGATCAATGACTCGTTTTTCCTACCAGCGAGTTATTTCTAGTAATTTGAAATTAATGATTAAGATAAAAAACAAACTTTATACATGCACATTAATGGTCGATGAATTCAGCCCACGAATTTATCAAAATCTACGTTAATACGTTAGTAAATTATTTAACAATAACTCGTATGAACATTTCGTTACAGTGCGTACAACTTCAGTAATGTGGAGGCTGAATGATATAAAACGTATTATATTACGTGACACAAAGAAAAAACAAACCCCTGGAGAATCCCTCGCTGAGCATCCACGACCATGTTATTCCGATCCTGAGCGTAGGTGCTCCGGCTGCCCCGCGTATTCTGGGGGGGGGGGGGGCATAATTCCGCTCAAAAACATAACTGCTCGGGGCAAACTGAGCAAGAATTTCTGCAACATCAGGGGACTTCACTCTAACCTAAACGCCGTCCACTACCATCTCGAGACGGCGAAGCCGGCTTTGCTCTTTCTGAGCGAGACGCAGGTTTCCTCTCCGGCTGATATTTCGTATCTCTGCTACCCAGGGTACAAATTGGAGCACTCCTTTGTGCCTCGGGCTGGAGTTTGCGTGTATGTCAGAGAGGGCATCTGTTCTCGACGCCTCGGCAGTCTTGAAGGTTCGGACCTGTCCATCCTTTGGCTACGCGTAGACAGCGACGACCATCCGCGCATCTACGGGTGCCTCTATAGGTCCCATAGCGGTAATGCCGAAACAGACCGACTCATCGACCACGTCCAAATGGCTACAGATTCCTTGCTACAACAGGTCCCATCCGCAGAGATCGTGATCCTTGGCGATTTTAACGCCCACCACGCCGAATGACTCGGTTCACGTTTAACCGATCATGCGGGGTGATCTGTTTATGACTTTGCCTTGGCATATGGTCTGACACAACTGGTTACATCGCCTACGCGGATTCCAGATATTGAGGATCATACACCTTCCCTGTTGGACCTTCTGCTGACCTCTCATCAGGACGGATATCAGGTTTCCGTCGATGCCCCTCTTGGCTCTACGGACCATTGTCTGATCCGGAGTATGGTGCCACTCACGCTCTCCTCGCGGTTGCGTTCTGCAGGTTGCCGCCGTGTTTGGCATTACAGGTCGGCGAATTGGGACGGAATGCGGTCTTTCTTTGCTTCCTACCCATGGGGGCGGGTTTGCTTCTCGCCGGATGATCCCAGCGCTGTTGCTGACTCTGTCACTGATGTGGTGCTACAGGGAATGGAACTATTTATTCCATCATCTGTGGTACCCATCGGGGGCAGATCTCAGCCTTGGTTTGGTCGCTCCTGTAAGACTGCATTACGCAGTAAGCAGGAGTGTTATCAAGCCTGGGCTGCGGCTTAGGCGACTCGGGATGTAAACACCAGCACACTTAAAAAGAAGTATAACTTCGCCTCCAGGTCCTTCAAAAGAGTTATTGCCAAGGCAAAGTCAGAGCACATAGGCAGAATTGGCGAGAAACTAGTTCGCCTTCCTTCGGGAACCCGTGCATTCTGGTCTCTCGCCAAGGCTGTCCAAGGGAATTTCTGTAAGCCATCACTACCATCTCTGCACAGGGAGGACGACGCACTGGCCCACGACGCAAAAGAGAAAGCCGACCTTTTAGGCTCCCTTTTTGCGTCCAACTCGACTGTTGATGACGGGGGGAACACACCGCCGACCATCCCGCGGTGTGAGTGCTCCATGCCGGATGTGCGGTTCTCACAGCGCTCGGTTCGCAGAGCACTCCTCTCCCTTGACATCCACAAGTCGAGTGGGCCTGACCGAATCCCCCCAATTGTGCTGAGGACGTGTGCTCCGGAGTTGTCACCGGTTCTAACGCTCTTTTCCGGTACTCCTACTCCCTAGGCGTAGTCTCGAAATCATGGAGGACAGCTTTTGTCCACCCGATCCCTAAAAAAGGCGACCGCTCAGACCCGTCCAACTACAGGCCTATCGCCATCACCCCCTTGCTCTCCAAAATATTGGAATCCGTTATAAACTGCCACCTCATGCGGTACCTTGAGGATCACGAGCTGATTAGTGACCGCCAAGTACGGTTTTCGTCGGGGTCGATCAGCTGGTGATCTTCTGGCTGTCTATCTTCTACTTAACTCATAGATGGGCGGAGGCAATAGAGTCCAAGGGAGAGGCATTGGCCGTTAGTTTGGACATTGCGAAGGCCTTCGATCGGGTTTGGCATAAAGCGCTACTTTCGAAGCTCCCTTCCTATGGGCTTCCCGAGAAATTATGCAATTGGATCACCAGCTTTCTTGCAGATCGGAGCATCAAGGTCGTTGTAGACGGTGCATGCTCCGACTACAAGCCTATTAACGCTGGTGTTCCACAAGGCTGCGTGCTATCACCAACGCTGTTTCTTCTGCATATCAATGATATGTTGCAAGCCGGTAGCAGTCATTGCTATGCGGATGACAGCACTGGTGATGCTCTATACACCGGCCGTGCCAATATTTCTCGGGAAAACGTCGCCGAGTACCGGAACAAACTTGTGTCTGAAGTCGAGTCTTTGCTGGACAAAGTCTCGGAATGGGGGCGACTAAATCTAGTCCAGTTTAATCCTCAGAAGACACAAGTTTGCGCGTTTACCGCTAAAAAGAACCCCTTTGTCGTATCTCCTCAGTTTCAAGGTACTTCCCTTGTTGCCTCAGCCAGTATCGGAATCCTTGGCGTCGACATATCGAGTGACGTGCCGTTTCGTGGTCACTTGGAAGAGAAGGCCAAATTGGCCTCTAAAAAGCTTGGCGTGCTCAGCAGAGCGGGACAGTATTTCATGCCGGCTCAACGCCTGCAACTTTACAAGGCGCAGGTTCGGCCTCATATGGAATACTGTTCCCATCTCTGGGCTGGGGCTCCCCAGTGCCAGCTCCTTCCACTTGACCGCATCCAGCGCAGAGCGGCTCGAATCGTCGACGACCGAGTCCTTTCCGATCGGCTCGACTCATTGGCGCTGCGAAGAGATGTTGCATGTCTTTGCATTTTCTTTCGCATTTACCACGGGGAATGCTCTGAGGAATTGTTCGAATTAATCCCACCTGCCAAATTTCACGAACGCACATCGCGGCAGAACTCCCGATAGCATCCACACCATTTGGATGATTGGCGGTCCACCACTGTGCGATTTAGAAGATGTTTTCTTCCTCGCACAACTTCCTTGTGGAATAGTTTACCACCAGCGATTTTTCCGGACCGATACGACTTAGGGACCTTCAAGAAAAGAGCCTACTCCTTTTTAAAAGGCCGGCAACGCTTCTGCAATTCCCCTGATGTTGCGGTTGTTCATGGGCGGCTGTAGTCACTTACCATCAGGTGAGCCGCATGCTCGTTTGCCCCCTCTGCTATATAAAAAAAAACAAATGTTATATAACGTGCACGTCAGAACGACAAACGACAATGTCATGTAACATTGTTATATTGCATTATTCTAATGTGTACAGTATTGTTATATGTTGCAATGTTGAAAAACAATGTTACATAATATGGACATGTTATAAAACAAAAGTTATACAAGATGTTACTTAATCTGTACGCACCCTAAGACAGCTTTGTTTTATCACACCCGCAAGCACCGCCGCATTACAAAAGGTGATAATATCTAAGAATAAACCAATCCGGAATTTCCTACCCTAGCTTTTCAAGATAATACAACAGAAGGATGTAAATTAAAATTTACTCTTTTCTTTCTTCAAATGACCGCAGTGCACGAACCATAAAAGCCCATACTCACCGAACGTAGTAAATTCAAAGCTAGGTAATATTTGGATTGGCCTATGTCCATCTGTGGATTCAATTAACTGATTAAGATTATGGTACGAAGGAGATCCAAAAATAGCTTATTTTAGCCTCTCAAATATTGAAGCGCAGTATTCTTCGGTAATTGTAGGTACCTTCTTCATAGTCTATTAATAAAATTCCAATCGTAATGTAAAGTTCCGCCATCTCTCGATATCGATTGCTGACGATAATAATTTTCCCTGACCTTGACCTTTCCTAAGGATCTTTCTAAATGTGATAATTATAGGCAGTTTATTATAATTATTTGGCATGGTCGTCGTAGAACCTTTACTGCGTTGTGTTTGTTTAGTAATTCAGTTCTTTTAGGTGTCTCTTGAAAGAATGAATATTCACTAGAGAAATAGAAAAATACCTCTTTTACTTGGAATGGATTCATTACAGGTAATTTAACTTTATCACTTGTATCAGGTTCTGATAGGAACCCGAAGTCAATTCCTGTTCATTTAATCCTTCCACGTTTGAAAAGAACTCTTTCAGATATATATGTAAAGCCTTATCATTCCTACTTTTTAAAAATGTGGTAAAGCCACACGGCTCCACACAGGTCAACCGTGCACGGTGAACGCCGCGACAAAATAACAGACGAACCAGTAAAAGAAGCTTCAGGCCCTGGTTAGTGCGTAAGCACCATTAATATAGTATTTTATATACTAGAAAGACTATGGACTGCTTACGGTTTTGGCATCTTTTTGGATGGTTACGATTTTATGTATCTCAGATCCCTCAGATCTTCTAAATTACTCATCGCATTTTGAAAAATTAGATATCTTTAGAAGTATCTTTTGTGCCCTTTCGCGAATTTTAGCTGCATAACGTCACATATAAACTAACATGGCGGTTATTGCTGACATATAAATACTCCCAAAAATAAGTATTGAAATATCGTGTTTAGATATCCAATAAAAGGTATAATTCAGAATGTTCACGACATTCCTAAAATACATGTCATAAAAAATGTTAACTATATTAGTATTTATTAGTTAATGTTTTATTTTTTTTATAAAACTGAGGTAACCAACGAACTGACAGTCCACCTGATGCTAGTAAGTGCCTACTGCAGGTGTAGCCCATAGACACTTGCAGCTAACTTCAAACACAGAACGCTTCGTCATTGTCACCTCTACGGACTGAGATGGAACGCCTCATAGCCTGTATTTATACCGGTACTAGGTAAAAAAGTCCCAGGCAGAAATGTTGTCTTACCACTTCGTTCATTCATAAACTTCAAAAATTGTTAATACGAGTATAAAGTCGGTGAAAGAAACACTGTTCTAAAAAAAAGTGATATGCGTGTTATGTTGTGTAGATATATAAATTAAGAGTTAATAACTAAAACCAAACTACGATAGGAAATGTGTACTAAAAAGGAATTGAATAATGAGTCTATATGTAGTCGTAGTTATACGTTATTACTATATCACAAATAAAATATATTTTTGTTGCGATTACGAACTTCCATTTGGAGCATCGACCATGACGTAGATTGTATGAGGAAATAATTTTCTCCAATGCAAAGTTAAGTGTTTCCTTCAATCCGGCTTTGCTTTTAGTTAGAACAATGTATTATACATATATAGGTATAGGTCCTTACCTCACCTAGTATTTTCGGGATGGGTGAACTATCTATACAGGGTTATATATATAACCGGCCAAATTTGAAGAGAAGGTTCCGATTAAGTAATATAGGCAAAAGGTGAAGAAATATTAATTTAAAAAAAATCTCAAACATTGTGTGCTTTTTATCTTTTAAATTCAAAATGCGTGGTAATTAATTAGATAGACGTGGTAAATAATAGATTAAGAAATTATTTTATGAGTAATCAAAGAAAAGTGTTGAAATAAATGAGATCACTATCAAACAAAATATAAATGTATAAAAACAAATCAAAAGTAACTTACTCCTCTAGAGTCCCGAAACAATATTGCAGCATGATGTGGATCGAGAAATGCGTCCGAAGCGCGATGACGTGCCGTGGACACATTACCGAGCGAAGAACGCCGCTTTTCTGCTTCTTGCGATGCAGCCCGACGTAAATATGCTCCTGTCGACAAAAGACTGAGTAAAATTTCAATAAGCATAAGACTCTTCCACCGCTTAATGGCGATGTAAAATATCCACTACCCCATTTCGACACGTGGGTGTCGTAAGAAGTGACGGCGGGGAATTGAAACAGGAGACGGGCAGCAGCGTCTTCCTAATACAACTCGAAATAAAAAAAAAAAGTGCGGCTGTCACCCGCCTGTTAAGCATGGCGGCTATCGTAAAATACCTATGAGGCAAGGTATGGGGGGTGTCTACGTTCAGCAGTGAATTAGTAAGGATGTAATGGATGGAGAGATGGATAGATGTTAGAGTAAGCCGAAAAAATATTTCACGCGTATGCATTGTCCTTCATTGTTTGTAAATAATTATCTTCACACCACAAACGTTCACGTAAACAAAATTCAAGTTTTTAATTTTTGGTAACTTTTGTTCTGATTCATCGGGCTTTTTCCCCGTGATTTAAGCTTTAAATTAAAACTCTTTCAATTGTCTAACAATTCTATAATTTTTTTACATACGTTGTTTTTGTTGTGTTACATTAGCACGTATTTACAAAACATAAATATAATGCGGTTGTCGCAGCCAACTAGAAATTAGCATTTCAGTGAACAGCCTAGCCTTATACCCCATTTACACTCGCGCGAGCGATGAGGCGAGTCGCGAGGCGAGCCACGAGGCGCGAGTGTAAACGCTAGCTCGTGGCTCGCCTCGCAGCTCGCCTCGCCAATCGCGGCGCTCGCGTCGGAGGCGGTTTTTTGAGCACGATGCAAAGGGCCTCGCGAGAGACGCGAGCGTGGTGTTTACACTCGCGTCTCGTTTCAGTTTGTTTACGGCGCCCTTCCATAATAACATTCGAATTGCTTTTGTTTTAAAATACAATTTTAATAAAAAAATATTATTTAATCTTGCACAATAGGTACTAGCAATTTATATAAAATTATGAAACTGAAAAGGTTCTGTTTCGATGAATAGATATCATCCGTCATATTCTTCCTCAACGACGTATTTTTATTAAGGCAAGAGTTGAGGCCGCTATTATTTCGACGTCATTCATCGTTGCTGGCTCAACGCAAACTGACCGCATCGCGAGAGTGTAAACAGGCACTCGTTACCTCACAACAACACGCGAGCTGCGAGGCGAGGTACGAGGCGAGGCGCGAGAAGAGTGTCTAAACGAGGTATCACTATACGATGACATTCAGACGATGCGTCTACTCGTACAATATTGCATCTATCTTGTAATACAGCGACGTTAGGGTGCGGCCGGGATGGCCCTCGAGTCTGCTTAAAGCCACGCACATTTGTATAATATATTTTATGATTATTTTAATTATGTTAGATTAAATTTAAATTTGAAATTAACATTTTGTGTTTATGTAATGTAATCTGTAAAAAATCTGTACAAATTAAATAGCATTAACTACTTGCCGATCATTTTTTTTATATTCTACTAAGCCAGCGCTTGCGTGATGTGTAGTGATGTAGCCTAAGATGGTGAAGCGCACTGACTTAAGAAAAGCCTATTCACTCTTGCCTTGAAGACACCCACATTGTAATCGGATAGAAAGACAGATGCTGCCAACTTATTCCACTCCTTTGCTGTACGCATGATGAACGACGTGGCGAAACCGTTTGGTCCGAATGCGTGGTAAGTCAACTACGAAACGGTGGAGACTGGCCGAACGTCTGGTTGTCCGATGGTGAAAGGGAGAGGGAGGAATTAAATTATGCAATTCCTGCGTACACTCTCCGAAATGCATCCTGTAAAAAACCGAAAGGCTGGCTACTTTGCGTCCTTGTTCGAGGCTGGTAAGATTGGTTTTAACCAAATTCGGGTCACCAATAAGCCTCTTAGCACGCCTTTCCATTGAGTCCAAAGCTGCTAGGTGGCATTTTGCAGCACCAGCCCATATATGGCAGCAATACTCCATGCACTACCGAACTTGCGCTTTATATACAGTAAGCAGTTGTCCCGGCATGAAGTATCGCCGCACCTTTGCAAGGACTTCCAGCTTCCTTGCAGCTGCTTTGGCCTTGGACTCAATGAACCACCCGAAGTGATATCCACAGATTTGTGGATATCTCAAACACTAACAACTGAAGGCGGTCGGTATATTCCAGTGATACATTTCGGAAGAAAGGAGCCAAGGTAAGCTGGCTCCTTTTTGCAGTGAAGAGACACGCTTGTGTTTTTGAGGCGTCGAATTTCACAAGATTGACCCCATTCGGAGACTGCCTGTAGTGTGAGATTCAAACGCTCTACCATAGCTTCTCTTTCGGACTGGATTTGATCCCGACTAGCCCGAGGACTTGGTTGGTATCTCTCCACAACTGGGAGTCTCGGTTAAAAAGAGCAAGGCCGCCTTCGCCATCTCTAGATGGTAATAGACAGCGTTAAGGTTGGAATGAAGTCCCCTGATATTGCAAAAATTACCATTAGCCCCCCTCCCCCCAAAATACGCGGGGCAGCCTGAGCACCCACGCTCAGGAGTGAAGTAGTTTGGTCGTGGATGCTCAGCGAGGGATTCTCCAGGGGTGCTGATACCCGCTTGGGGTAGTCTTTTATTTAATTCCACTACCATGTTGAGGGGAGGGGGGGAAATTGGGCCTCCGGCTACCTGCACTCACCACGCGCAACGCAGAGGTAAACCTATACTTCACGCTGGTATTCTGTGAGATCGTGGTACCACCCCGGTTCGAGCTGGCCCATCCGTGCGACAGCAAAAGCTACCGCTTGGCTCTACCACTGTAGAAAACACTAAAACTAACACACAATATTAAATGATGATGTCGCAATATTTTTTTTTAGGTTAGGTTTTCCCTCATCTAAAAAAATTATTGCGACACCTTGTGTCTTAGAAAACCTAATTGAAAACTATCCAGAAGATTTTCCGTGATGCGCGCACAACTGCTAAACTGTATCATTTTATTTATATACTTAGATTAGGAATGATAATACAATCATTGAAATTGAATGATCTATAACTTTCATATAAATTGTCAGTACGATACGCGCGACACTTAATGTAAGTTAAATTAATGTATTATGCCTATAACCTTCGCGCAAGTGCAAGCAATAAGTTGACAAAGTTTTACCGCAATCTAATGAACGGTATGGCAGTGCATAAAATACGAACAAACAAAGATAAATTTTTATAGATTAGAAAATATAAATAGTTTATTCATTTTGTCTATAGACAGACCTGTAAATAATTATAATAGGTTATTTTAGCAGCTGATTTGTTTCCTGTAATACTAGAGCTGAATAAACACAAATTATTTGCGAAATTATGTTTAGTTACTTATACCAGTTGAATATTATCCAGTACTAATTTAACGTTTAAGCCTCGTGAATGAACCAACATACCCAGTGTTGAAACCTGGAGCAAAATCCGTTCTGTAGTTACGAATAAAAACATAGATCAACGCAACGTCGATCTTGGTTTTATATGAGGTATAAAGCTTGCGTCTAAGGCCTAGATATTAAATGATATACTTGTTTATTGTATGGCATCATATTAATATGATACATAAATAGAATGGACATTACGGGTAGGCCTAGGTATAGAATTTTTATTGATACATTTTACCACTGTCTTATCTCTATTATTGGTGACGTAGACGCTCACTTCTGCTGTCAGCACCAATATTATGTCACGGTATATAGCCGGTCCAAATACAGAGGTCAGTCAGTGCCTTCTTACAATATAGTTCAATGACATAGATATGTCACACACGTATGTTGGTATGTTTTCTTGTTTTCTTCTTTCCACTCACAGTCTTATTTATAGCCAATAACACTGCAATGAACCATGTTTGTCACGTAACAACATGAAACCACATATAATTAAAGAGTTAATCACAGTTTTAATAACCTAATGACATTTTTTTACAAAAATTGAGAAACGTCAAGACTGTCGTGCAAAAACAATGCTAAAGGCAAACAAACTTTGGGAGATACGCAGAATGTGACAAGAAATGTTAATTCTTACTCTCTCAATCTGATCGTCGGGTGTAACTCTCGGACTATGATTACACGTCAAGTCTAGGTAGGTAATTCTATGTCTTGACAATTTACATGTCATAACTGCACTTGTTTAATTGTATATTTTGAAAAAAAGGAGACGGTCCAAAATTGTATGAATCCTTGACCTAGTTTTGTACTAGTATGGAAATAAATTAAAATAAAATATTAAACCACGTTTGATCATTCAAATACACGAATTTGTCTTTATTTCAGTGGTATTAATCTTTTATTCTCACCAAAAAATGCAACACTAATGGCGGATTGATGTCGTTTTGATTGGACGTTAGCTGTCACTTTTAAAATATACCCTATTACCGATAGCCTATCAGGTAGATTTATTATGTAAAATAGCTAAAATGTCTCGAAATCTGCATATCATAAATGAATTTCAAGAGGAAACAAATTTAAAAATTACTACCTAATTCCTGACTAGAAGATTGTTGAGATAAATCTACGGTGCCGCCGGTACAGTTTAGTGGAAGGAGCATCCAGGCCTTTTTTTACATGTGGAAATGAGGCGTAGGTGTTTTGAGAGTTTTTACAAATATTTAGTGCCAGATAGCGCAAAGCAAAAATTATATGTGAATAGCGGGTAACTCCGTTTATCTACCATAAAAAATTAACCCTGAGATGTATACTACTATATTACACAAATAATAAAGAATATATTTAACTTATTTTACCTTAGGGTGGCTATTTTAAGGTGGATAAACAGAACATCCCTGAAAACTAATTTCTGTTCAGGTATCATGTGCCTATCTAAGCTGCTGAAGTGCTAGGGTGATAAGATGATTTATTTGTTAGAATATAGTACATTACAGTTACAGACCTACATTATTAGAGACCTGTAAAACAGACCTACTGTCTGACTACTTCTCGATTTGATTCAAGGGCCCCTCCGAAAGAGGTACAAACCTCGGCTTGAACCACTATTGAAATATGGAATAGCGAATTTTGACGGTTATATGAGGTCATATAACCCTGTCCGTCATCTAGCATCGGGACTTTTTTGGGTGTCTTTTGGCTGTAAGCGACACGACTTACTTTTCAATCATGGAAAATATAATATCAGCGAAGCTTTTTAATCTTTTTGTAACTGATTAGTAGCAAATACTTTTCATAACCTTTATGCTCACGTTTTCTTTAAACATTTATTGTGTATATTTGCTAATTTATCTAAATGTTTTTTATAGGAAGTGATTGAACTGACAAACTAATGGAAAATTAAGTTGCATTAGCAAGCGTAACTCAATGTTATTTTACCGAAGATAGATTACTGTGATTAATTAAGTAATTACGTATGTAAGCATTTATTTGTCAATTTTCGATGCTTAAAACCCACAATACTTAGGCACTCTTTGACTAACATTATTTATAATAATATTCGTAATGGTATATTCAATTATTAAGTGCCATTTTAAAAAAGTGACTTTATGAAGTTTATTACATTGCATAATTTATTTTCGCGTAGGTAATAAACCTAATTTCTTCATTAATTTACCATCAAAAAATTTAACCTAGGCAGTAGAACCCATTTCACGAATGATAGAATTATATGTATTGCACAAGCGCTAATCCTTCTTTTTGCTGGCAACGGGCGAAGCCAACGGCATGACATTCCGGACAGTGATATTATCGCACAAGCGCCGCGCCATTAACAGAGCACAAAGAAGTTGGCTTGGAAGTATGACTGGTCAAATTAATGAATAGGTGCACATAATTGCTCACTAAATGCTCAATTCAAATCTGCAATTGCTCACATTATTAATTTATTATTTAAATAGTTATTAATAATTTAAAATACAGAATTTTTATTGTCTATTATACTTAAAACACATATTTTTTTTTAAATGAATAACTGCCCATAATTGCTGACAAAATGCTTAATTTAAATCCCTAAATGCTCACACTATTCATTAATTATTTAATTACTTATTAATAATTTAAAATACAAAATTGTTTTTTCCTACACCGATCAGATTAATGAATATGCGCTCATAATTGCTCACTAAATGCTCAATTCAAATCTGCAATTGCTCACATTATTAATTTATTATTTAAATAGTTATTAATAATTTAAAATACAGAATATTTTTTGTCTTTTATATTTAAAACCAATAAACTTTTTTTTAAATGAATAACTGCCCATAAATGCTCACAAAATGCTTAATTTAAATCCGCAAATGCTCACACTATTAATAAATTATTTAATTTTTCATTAATAATTTAAAATACCAATTTGTTTTTTCCTACACCGATCAGATTAATGAATATGCGCTCATAATTGCTCACTAAATGCTCAATTTAAATCCGCAATTGCTCACATTATTAATTTATTATTTAAATAGTTATTAATAATTTAATATACAGAATTATTTTTGTCTATTATACTTAAAACCAATAATTTCTTTTTTTAAATGAATAACTGCCCATAATTGCTCACTAAATGCGCAATTCAAATCTGCAATTGCTCACAGTATTAATTAATTATTTAAATAGTTATTAATAATTCAAAATACAGAAATTTTTTTGTCTGTTATACTTAAAACCAATAAACCAATTTTAAAATAAATAAGTGCTCATAATTGTTGTAAATTGAAATCCGCAATTGTTCACACTATTCATTAATTATTTAATTACTTATTAATAATTTAAAATACAAAATTGTTTTTGCCTAAACCGCTCTGATTAATAAATAAGTGCTCATGATTGCTCACAAAATGCTTAATTCAAATCCGCAACTGTTCACACTATTAATTAATTATTTAATTAGTTATTGATAATTTAAAATACAAAATTGGTTTTTCCTAAGCCACTCAGATTAATGAATAAGTGCTCATAATTGCTCACTAAATGTTCAATTCAAATCTGCAATTGCTCACATTATTAATTTATTATTTAAATAGTTATTAATAATTAAAAATACAGATTTTTTTGTCTATAATACTTAAAACCAGAATTTTTTTTAAAATGAATAACTGCCCATAATTGCTCACAAAATGCTTAATTTAAATCCGCAAATGCTCACACTATTAATAAATTATTTAATTATTTAATAATAATTTAAAATACAAAATTGTTTTTTCCAATACCGATCAGATTAATGAATATGAGCTCATAATTGCTCACTAAATGCTCAATTCAAATTTGCAATTGCTCACACTATCAATTAATTATTTAATTATTTATTTATAATTTAAAATACAAAATTGTTTTTTCCTAAACCACTCAGATTAATGAATAAGTGCTCATAATTGCTCAGTAAAAGCTCAATTCAAATCCGCAATTGCTTAATTAATAAGTAATTAAATAACAAATTGTAAACAATTGCCGATTTCAATTAAGCATTTTGTGAGAAATTATGAGCAGTTATTCATTTAAAAAAAAGTTTATTGGTTTTAAGTATAATATACAAAAAAAATTCTGTATATTAAATTATTAATAACTTTTTAAATAATTAATTAATAGTGTGAGCAATTGCAGATTTGAATTGAGCATTTAGTGAGCAATTATTGGCAGTTATTTATTTAAAAAAAGTTTATTGGTTTAAAGTATAATAGACAAAAACTATTCTGTATTTTAAATTATTAATAACTAATTAAATAATAGATTAATAATGTGAGCAATTGCAGATTTGAATTGAGCATTTAGTGAGAAATTATGAGCACTTATTCATTAATCTGAGTAGTTTAGGAAAAAACCATTTTGTATTTTAAATTATTAATAACTAATTAAATAATACATTAATAGTGTGAACAATTGCGGATTTCAATTAAGCATTTTGTGAGCAATTATGAGCACTTATTCATTTTTAAATTGGTTTATTGGTTTTAAGTATAATAGACGAAAACAATTCTGTATTTTAAATTATCAATAACTAATTAAATAATTAATTAATAATGTGAGAAATTGCAGATTTGAATTAAGCATTTAATGAGCAATTATGAGCACTTATTCATTAATCTGAGTGGTTTAGGAAAAAACAATTTTGTATTTTAAATTTTTAATAAGTAATTAAATAATTATTTAATAGTGTGAACAATTGCGGATTTCAATTAAACATTTTGTGAGCAATTATGAGCACTTATTTATTTTAAAATTGGTTTATTGGTTTTAAGTATAATAGACAAAAAAAAATCTGTATTTTAAATTATTAATAACTATTTAAATAATTAATTAATAGTGTGAGCAAGTGCAGATTTGAATTGAGCATTTAGTGAGCAATTATGAGCGCATATTCATTAATCTGATCGGTGTAGGAAAAAACAATTTTGTATTTTAAATTATTAATAAATAATTAAATAATTTATGAATAGTGTGAGCATTTGCGGATTTAAATTAAGCATTTTGTGAGCAATTATGGGCAGTTATTCATTTAAAAAAAAGTTTATTGGTTTTAAGTATAATAGACAATAAAAATTCTGTATTTTAAATTATTAATAACTATTTAAATAATAAATTAATAATGTGAGCAATTGCAGGTTTGAATTGAGCATTTAGTGAGCAATTATGTGCACCTATTCATTAATTTGACCAGTCATACTTCCAAGCCAACTTCTTTGTGCTCATTAACAGAGGGAGAAGCGAACACCGGACAGACGCGGATCCCAGCAAGGCGATGGCTTTCCCCGCTTGCCCGCATCTGCTTCAACCCCTCGAAACTTATGTATCACATAATTACAATACCATTTCTCCATATAAAATGAAATAGATAATATACTATATTAAATATATAAATAAAAACAAAATTGACGAAAAAGTTGGAACAGAAATGAAGGCCGTTCGTTAGTATGAAATATTTAATTACATGAAATTAAATTATTCTCTTAATTATTTGACTTTATGAATTAAAATTGCGATTTTGAAGCATCATTTTTAGTGTAGCTGTAGAATTACAAAATGAGGTTCACAGACCGGAAAAGAAACGCGTGAAAGAATCTTCGCAGGTATCCTCTTTTTTGTCAGATATATTTTTACAATAATAGGTATGTAATTTATAACAAAAATACAAATAATGAACTTGACGGCAAAACTGATAATAGTATAAAAGTTATTTTAAATAATTGACTACATAATAATATATTCCCATTTTATTTGTCAAGTTAAGTTAATTCTGTGTATGCTAAAACCCAAAGGCATGCTCAACACTGCGATGTAACGCTAATGCAATCAAAACTGTGTTGTCTTCTCTTAGTGAGCTGTAGTGTAAGAAGCAATAATAGTCGTCCGAATGACGGACTAATCGGTTGCAATTTATTAATACAATGCAACGGGGCGCGATCCCCCATTTGTTTGACCCTATACTGATCATCGCGACACTGCAAACTAAGTGTAGGTACTACTTAAATGTAATGATATATATATATATATATATATATATATATATATATATATATATATATATATATATCCTCGCAGTGTGTTGCTCACTAACGACAACGCCCAAAAATTAAACAAGACTTGTACCCTAGTACATTTAGCCTACGTTGCGCGTAAATCAGTCTGCGACGAGACATGAGTATTGTCGACAAATACTTTTTTGTCAATTAGAATACAGGGTATCAGAAACAGGAAGCAATATAAACACAGCTAGAGCCGAAAACAAACAATTTATATTTTTATAGAAATATAGTTTCGAGCTGGGATCCAAGACCAGGATCTAGGGCGTGCAAACCACCAGGTTACGTGTACACCGTTACAACTCGGCAAAAACCTAATGGAACTTACTTTGTTTTCTAAAAAATAAATAAAACACATTATGTACCCTTATACTATAGTGCTATACAATTTAATTTATTACCTTCTTTTACAATCGTGTCGAAGATATGGTACGTAGCGCCACAGTCATCCAGTACCGATTTTCTCAAAACCTTGTGCATGTGATCACAGTCAAGTGATTTAGAACGGGATCGAAATTCGTCGCTGTCGCTAGCGCGCTCATTACTGGCAGAGGGCACCGCGCAGGAACCCCGCCGACCTTCATTAGGATCGTGACGCCAGTGTCCTACTTTTTTACTGAACGTCCGAATCAATTCTTGTATAGAATGATGTTTATGCTTATGATGACTACTTCCATTTGATTCCGATCCTCGCCTCTCGCGCAAATGATTCTCTTTTGGAGCATTGGAGCTCTCGACTAACTTCTGTGCGAAACTCTTATTATCAAATCGGTTTTTATACGGCATTTGACTCAATTTAGTGTTGCTGATCTCTCCATAACGTTCACATTTGCTGTATTCATTTTCCTGTATATCATCCATGACGTCGTTGTATAGAGGCGAGACAAAATTACGATAGTCATGTCTGGGTGCCTGATACGTATTGACACCAATCTGGTAAATCTCTCCATCACTTCGTTTCGATCTGTAGGAGCCTGAATGAAAATGATGATGTTGAGACGGCGACCCCCGACCTTCCATTACTTCTCGGAAATAGCTGGCAAAATTCGGGTATCGATCACGAGGACTTGAAGCAAATTCGTACGGTGACCGTCCACTCCGGTAAGCACAATTGCCTGTGCGTTGATTAATTGGAATGCCTCTACTGTGTTGCTCATTTTGTATGGAACTACGAGAATCTGTCGAGCTAATTGTCGAGCACCAGCTATCGGCGCTGTCATCCTTTTCTAAAGAGGAAATAGCCTCTCGAGAACTATGTTTGTGCAAAAAGTGTGTAAGACTGTGCATTTTGCGTTTGGTACTTTGACTTATTTATCTATATCTATCCATCGCACTTTAGTTCACAAAATAAGATCACTGTTTATCGAATCTCGGTCTTTTTGTTAAGTAAACTTAATGATAAATAGGAATATTTAAATGCTAACGCAATTACATAAATAGAACCACAACAAAGCAAATATTATGTCCGTTAATTTTTTTATAAAAAGGAGACAATAAGCATGCCGTCCACCGGATAATAAATTATGAATGCTGTAGCCCATAAACACCCACGTCTATCATAGATTAAAAAACAAAATACAGATGCGTTCTCACCACCAAGAATTAAGGCGTTCTCTGACTCACTATACAAAACACAGCCGCATTATGTTACTATATAATGCCGGTATTCTATGAGAAAGTAGTTCCTCCATCGATCTGACCAGTCTGTATACAATATTGAAAGCAAAATTTCGATAATCAGATATTGATGTATGTAAGTAGGTAACCATATTTGCTAATAGTCTGCCCGACCGTCAATGGCCATTCAAAAGTGAAATATAAGGGGAACGTTTTGTTATTTTAGTCCCAGCTCGGAGTCGGAGCGCTATTGATATTCTGTAGCTCAAGGTCAACAAGACTTATTTAAGGAGTGCATTCACATGGTAAACGTGAAGTACCAGACGGCCTTGAGCGAAATGCGGATCTTAGCATTGCATTTTTTACGCATGGGTGAACTGGGTCACCTTCAAAGTATATGGGAGAGTGGTACAAGTTCAGTAACTTAAGTAAAACAGATACTTTCTCGTGAGACGAAATTATGCCATCTTTAGCCTATAATAAGTTAATGTTTTATTTTATTATTTTTAATTTATCGTATATCACTGTGAAACTAGAGCAACTTTCCATTACTCATAGACGAACCAGTACCATACAAGACAAAAAAATTGTTCTCAAGGCAAGGGCATTTGACAAAATTTGTTACATATTATTTATACGTAACACCTAAAGCATGTCGTAGAGCGTTTTATAATTTCCATTTCAATAAACATAATATATCAAAACAATGAAAAAAAGACTCAATAATCACAATGTACGAACAAAAGAAAAATAATTACTAGGTTAGGCTTTTTCATAAATTTTCCTTTTTAAAGAAGGAGAAAATGTATTCAAAACCAAAGCAAACATTTTAGAACCACGCCGTGGTGTTTCAGAAGTAGTGGGAAAAATGAATTCGCGACGATATAGATGATAAGTGAAAAGATAGTTTTTAAGGCGACGCTAGCATACATTAAAGCCGATGACATATTGTTTAAAAATTTAATTTAATAAATTTTTAAACAATATGTCATCGGCTTTAAATTATTATTATCTATAGATCATTACGTCATAGACGCCATTTCAGATTTGGAGAATGGCGTCACTGAACGATCGTCTTTTCCTTTCTATTAGATTCACTCACTACCTGTCCGCCCACTCAAACGAAAAACTTTAATGCTTGCCCCAACTTTTACAAATACAATACAAAAATGAGATTAGAACAAAAATATGAATAGCAATCTTGCAAATTTATCATAGTAGTACCTAAAAATATTTTAGAGGTATTTGAAGCATTTTCAATATAATGATGTTGCTGTTTAATGCCTTTAATATAATGAATTGTCCAACAAGGAAATCAAGGCGCCCTTATAATCATGTTTTGTTCATATAACTAAAATAAAAACAGAGTTAATAATTCCAATTAAAAATTGAGGAGTAAGTACTATTAATTCAATTTAGGTTTCAATTTTAAGGTACAAAAATATATAAAACATAATCTAGAGTTATTCTAGATTCAGACATTTAAATGAAACTACTTGAACCATCATCATATCAAAATGCGCCATATTTTATAGTTTAACAGTAAATTAAATGAAAATGTAGTTATACCCAATGACGTATTATATATCGACGTAAGTTTATACATCATTGGTTATACCTTTAGAAAATGGCTTTTATAGTACTAACAAGTGTTCCTCTTTTATGCTACACTATATTTATAATAGTACTAAGAGTAAATATTTGAAAGAATAAAAAAAAATATTTTATTCTCACCAGTATATAAACAAAACTAAACATTAATTATTTTTTCTCTATACAAATTTAAACACCTTCTGGGTTGCATATATTGTAGTGTTGTTTTGAAAACTTGCAATATACGTATTCATTGTATTCTCATCATCATCATTACAGCCCTTCACAAGTCCACTACTGAACATAGGCCTCCCCCAAGGAATGCAACAGAGCATGGTCTTGAGCCACCTGCATACATCGACTTCCTGCATGTCTTACCAGGTCGTCACTCCATCTAGTGGGGGGGTCGCTCTCCACTTTGCCCACTGATACGAGGCTACCACCTGAGAACATTGTATTTTATTTACATCAAAGAAAAATTTTCATACAAACTGTATACCCCATATATCCTATTTCACCCTCTTAGGGGTTAAATATTCCAGTATGTTTTCTGTGTGAATTCCTACGTCGTAAATAGTAGCTATTGTCCAAAGAACAATGGCCATTCACCTAGCATGCTTGGATAGTATAATTTAAAATTAAAAATTTTGTACAGCCGACTTCAATAAAAGTTATTAAGAATAATTCAAACACTGTGTCTGACCTTCATCAAATTCATATGGGGCCACACGAGAAGTACCAGCTTTCAAATATAAAAAGAATCATCGAAATCGGTTCACCCAGTAGAAAGTTAGGAGGTAACATACATAAAAAAAAACATACAGTCGAATTGAGTACCGTCTCCTTTTTGGAAGTCGGCAGAAAATCTAATATTACGTACGAGGGTGGATTGAAAAGTACTCGGCCTAACCAAGAAAATAAACAAATACTAAATCAGTTATATTTTTATTTTTCTACATAATCACCATCAAGTTCAATACACTTTTGCCACCTCCCCTTCCAAGCATTAAGACCGTTGAAAAAAAAATATTCTTCCTTAGAGTCAAAATATGCGTCTACAGCTGCTTTGACCTCGTCGTTTGTCGAAAATCTTTGACCTCCCAAGTGCTTTTTTAGGTTAGGGAACAGAAAGAAGTCTGATGGTGCCAGATCAGGTGAATACGGCGGATGCGGTAACAGTTCAAAGCCACAGTTGTGAATTTCAGCCATTGACTGTACTGACGTGTGAACACGGGCGTTATCTTGATGAAACAGGACTTTTCTTCTGAGCATTTCTCGACGTTTTTCTTTTATTTCCTCTCGTAAAGGACGTAGTAAGGTGCAGTAGTAATCAGAGTTTATATTCTGTCCCCTTTCAAGATAATCAATCATAATCACACGTTTCGAGTCCCAGAATACTGAAGCCATCACCTTATTTGCCGACAAAATCGACTTAGCCTTTTTAGGGGGTGGTGAACCAGGTCTTCTCCACTGTTTTGATTGTTGTTTTGTTTCCGGTGTACAGTAATGAACCCATGTTTCGTCCATAGTAACAAAACGATTCAAAAAATCATCTGCATCGGCTTCAAATAACTCCAAACAGTCGCGTGAAATAGTCAATCGCGTCCTTTTTTGTTCAACTGAAAGCAGTCGCGGAACCCACCTCGCAGACACCTTGTAGAAACCCAACTCGTTGACAATGATGTTTTGAGTTCGTTCATAAGAGATGCCTATAATCTCGGCTATCTCTCTAATTTTTAATCTGCGGTCTCCCATTATTAAATCAAGTACTTTTTTAATATTTTCGTCAGTAGTTGACGTCGAAGGCCTTCCAGAGCGGGGTTCATCTTTCACACTCTCTCTACCACGCTTAAATTCTGCTATCCATTTTTTGACGGATGAATATGACAGAGCACAATCGCCTAATGTACTGACCCTGTCATCATGGATGGCTTTTGATGATAGCCCCTTCTTATGGAGGTACTTAATGACGGCACGCTGCTCGATTTGCTCCATTCGCGGAAATTATGTCCGATTACTTTGTTAATAAAATTTATAAAATCACAACTAATTATCGCACACGTTTCGAACTTCACACAATGAACTAGTCTGAACTGAACTAAATAATGTGGCTAGATTTGATTTTTAGAATTGAATGTATCTGTGTTAGGCCGAGTACTTTTCAATCCACCCTCGTAACTTGATGAAACATACGTAGTTTAATTTGTTTTTCTAGTAATTTTGGTTTTTTTAGGATATTTTTAAGTAGTAAGTACAGAGAATTTAATAATCATACAATATGTTTTGAGGTTATGTGATGTTTATTATTAATCTAATCTGTAGCGTTTTAAAATGAAAGGTTTTTCTTAGTTCAATAATTAACGTAAGTTAATACGCTTGCCATTGTTTAGTTTATCTTCGATCCAGAAACAAAATCGATTTAGACTTTAGAATAAGTATGAATAAAACGTAGTGATTATATCACAGAGTACTTTTTATAAGATTAAATACATTTTGATACCTAATTTTCTTTTAGTAAAACTTAGTTATATACTCTTTGTTTAAGAAAGTAAATAATTACGGATACGTTCAAAAATAAGATATTTATACTGCGTTCTGTTAAGCAAAGTTATATTTTTAATGATTATCTATATTCTATTATATTTTATAATTTTATATATTATATTTTATTATTTATATTTTTATATTATTTGTATTTCACCAAAGCTTTTAAAAATAAAGTGATGATATCCATTAATAACACAATATTCTAGATTTTGGCGAAAGTCACATGTCGGTAACAATTTATGTTTTTTCCTAGTCCAAAAATGGCCATAGTTCTTTAAGCTTTTTAGGGCTAGGGGTTGGGCTGTGCGTTGATAGATGAGTCAATCTCTCAGGACATATATTATAAATATATATATATATCGACATCTTTATATATATATATGCATATTTATATACATTAATTCACCGTTTATCATTATTTTATTCTTAGATTTTTTTACTGTCTCTTAGTATTTCTTTCTCCGTTTAGCCTAATGGTTGACTGGGTGAGAATATTCTATGGCATTAAATCCTAAAATATTAAAGTATAA